TGTGTCCTGATAGTCATTTGGGATCCCCCGAACTCCATACACTTAATTATTCTCAGATTTGAAGTCAAAATCTATGGAAAAAGGCACTCAGAAAAATTGAAAAATTGATAAATCATGCCAAATTGCTTAACACGATTTTATCTCAGGAACTATAAGCCCAAATGAGTTGAAATTTTAAGGGATTGTAGTCCTCTACTGGAATAAGAAACGCTGAAAATTTCAGCTTTCCATCTATAATAGAAAAAAAGTTATGACCTTTCAAAGTTTTCCAAAGTCTAAATCATAAGGTAAGGTACCTTCTTACTAAAACGAAGAAATTTCAAATTTTTTTTTGTTGAGATTTTGTGTCCTGATAGTCATTTGGGATCCCCCGAACTCCATACACTTAATTATTCTCAGATTTGAAGTCAAAATCTATGGAAAAAGGCACTCAGAAAAATTGAAAAATTGATAAATCATGCCAAATTGCTTAACACGATTTTATCTCAGGAACTATAAGCCCAAATGAGATGAAATTTTCAGGGATTGTGGTCCTCTACTGGAATAAGAAACGCTGAAAATTTCAGCTTTCCATCTATAATAGAAAAAAAGTTATGACCTTTCAAAGTTTTCCAAAGTCTAAATCATAAGGTAAGGTACCTTCTTACTAAAACGAAGAAATTTCAAATTTTTTTTTGTTGAGATTTTGTGTCCTGATAGTCATTTGGGATCCCCCGAACTCCATACACTTAATTATTCTCAGATTTGAAGTCAAAATCTATGGAAAAAGGCACTCAGAAAAATTGAAAAATTGATAAATCATCCCAAATTGCTTAACACGATTTTATCTCAGGAACTATAAGCCCAAATGAGATGAAATTTTCAGGGATTGTGGTCCTCTACTGGAATAAGAAACGCTGAAAATTTCAGCTTTCCATCTATAATAGAAAAAAAGTTATGACCTTTCAAAGTTTTCCAAAGTCTAAATCATAAGGTAGGTTACCTTCTTACTAAAACGAAGAAATTTCAAATTTTTTTTTGTTGAGATTTTGTGTCCTGATAGTCATTTGGGATCCCCCGAATTCCATACACTTAATTATTCTCAGATTTGAAGTCAAAATCTATGGAAAAAGGCACTCAGAAAAATTGAAAAATTGATAAATCATGCCAAATTGCTTAACACGATTTTATCTCAGGAACTATAAGCCCAAATGAGTTGAAATTTTAAGGGATTGTAGTCCTCTACTGGAATAAGAAACGCTGAAAATTTCAGCTTTCCATCTATAATAGAAAAAAAGTTATGACCTTTCAAAGTTTTCCAAAGTCTAAATCATGAGGTAGGTACCTTCTTACTAAAACGAAGAAATTTCAAATTTTTTTTTGTTGAGATTTTGTGTCCTGATAGTCATTTGGGATCCCCCGAATTCCATACACTTAATTATTCTCAGATTTGAAGTCGAAATCTATGGAAAAAGGCACTCAGAAAAATTGAAAAATTGATAAATCACCCCAAATTGCTTAACACGATTTTATCTCAGGAACTATAAGCCCAAATGAGTTGAAATTTTCAGGGATTGTGGTCCTCTACTGGAATAAGAAACGCTGAAAATTTCAGCTTTCCATCTATAATAGAAAAAAAGTTATGACCTTTCAAAGTTTTCCAAAATCTAAATTATAAGGTAGGTACCTTCTTACTAAAACGAAGAAATTTCAAATTTTTTTTTGTTGAGATTTTGTGTCCTGATAGTCATTTGGGATCCCCCGAATTCCATACACTTAATTATTCTCAGATTTGAAGTCAAAATCTATGGAAAAAGGCACTCAGAAAAATTGAAAAATTGATAAATCATGCCAAATTGCTTAACACGATTTTATCTCAGGAACTATAAGTCCAAATGAGTTAAAATTTTCAGTGATTGTAGTCCTCTAATGGAATAAGAAACGCTGAAAATTTCAGCTTTCCATCTATAATAGAAAAAAAGTTATGACCTTTCAAAGTTTTTCAAAGTCTAAATCATAAGGTAGGTACCTTCTTACTAAAACGAAGAAATTTCAAATTTTTTTTTGTTGAGATTTTGTGTCCTGATAGTCATTTGGGATCCCCCGAATTCCATACACTTAATTATTCTCAGATTTGAAGTCAAAATCTATGGAAAAAGGCACTCAGAAAAATTGAAAAATTGATAAATCATGCCAAATTGCTTAACACGATTTTATCTCAGGAACTATAAGTCCAAATGAGTTAAAATTTTCAGTGATTGTAGTCCTCTAATGGAATAAGAAACGCTGAAAATTTCAGCTTTCCATCTATAATAGAAAAAAAGTTATGACCTTTCAAAGTTTTCCAAAGTCTAAATCATAAGGTAAGGTACCTTCTTACTAAAACGAAGAAATTTCAAATTTTTTTTTGTTGAGATTTTGTGTCCTGATAGTCATTTGGGATCCCCCGAACTCCATACACTTAATTATTCTCAGATTTGAAGTCAAAATCTATGGAAAAAGGCACTCAGAAAAATTGAAAAATTGATAAATCATGCCAAATTGCTTAACACGATTTTATCTCAGGAACTATAAGCCCAAATGAGATGAAATTTTTCAGGGATTGTGGTCCTCTACTGGAATAAGAAACGCTGAAAATTTCAGCTTTCCATCTATAATAGAAAAAAAGTTATGACCTTTCAAAGTTTTTCAAAGTCTAAATCATAAGGTAGGTACCTTCTTACTAAAACGAAGAAATTTCAATTTTTTTTTTGTTGAGATTTTGTGTCCTGATAGTCATTTGGGATCCCCCGAACTCCATACACTTAATTATTCTCAGATTTGAAGTCGAAATCTATGGAAAAAGGCACTCAGAAAAATTGAAAAATTGATAAATCATCCCAAATTGCTTAACACGATTTTATCTCAGGAACTATAAGCCCAAATGAGTTAAAATTTTCAGGGATTGTAGTCCTCTACTGGAATAAGAAACGCTGAAAATTTCAGCTTTCCATCTATAATAGAAAAAAAGTTATGACCTTTCAAAGTTTTCCAAAGTCTAAATCATAAGGTAGGTACCTTCTTACTAAAACGAAGAAATTTCAAATTTTTTTTTGTTGAGATTTTGTGTCCTGATAGTCATTTGGGATCCCCCGAACTCCATACACTTAATTATTCTCAGATTTGAAGTCGAAATCTATGGAAAAAGGCACTCAGAAAAATTGAAAAATTGATAAATCATCCCAAATTGCTTAACACGATTTTATCTCAGGAACTATAAGCCCAAATGAGATGAAATTTTCAGGGATTGTGGTCCTCTACTGGAATAAGAAACGCTGAAAATTTCAGCTTTCCATCTATAATAGAAAAAAAGTTATGACCTTTCAAAGTTTTCCAAAGTCTAAATCATAAGGTAGGTTACCTTCTTACTAAAACGAAGAAATTTCAAATTTTTTCTTGTTGAGATTTTGTGTCCTGATAGTCATTTGGGATCCCCCGAATTCCATACACTTAATTATTCTCAGATTTGAAGTCAAAATCTATGGAAAAAGGCACTCAGAAAAATTGAAAAATTGATAAATCATGCCAAATTGCTTAACACGATTTTATCTCAGGAACTATAAGCCCAAATGAGATGAAATTTTCAGGGATTGTGGTCCTCTACTGGAATAAGAAACGCTGAAAATTTCAGCTTTCCATCTATAATAGAAAAAAAGTTATGACCTTTCAAAGTTTTCCAAAGTCTAAATCATAAGGTAGGTACCTTCTTACTAAAACGAAGAAATTTCAAATTTTTTTTTGTTGAGATTTTGTGTCCTGATAGTCATTTGGGATCCCCCGAATTCCATACACTTAATTATTCTCAGATTTGAAGTCGAAATCTATGGAAAAAGGCACTCAGAAAAATTGAAAAATTGATAAATCACCCCAAATTGCTTAACACGATTTTATCTCAGGAACTATAAGCCCAAATGAGTTGAAATTTTCAGGGATTGTGGTCCTCTACTGGAATAAGAAACGCTGAAAATTTCAGCTTTCCATCTATAATAGAAAAAAAGTTATGACCTTTCAAAGTTTTCCAAAATCTAAATTATAAGGTAGCTACCTTCTTACTAAAACGAAGAAATTTCAAATTTTTTTTTGTTGAGATTTTGTGTCCTGATGGTTATTTGGGATCTCCCGAACTCCATACACTTAATTATTCTCAGATTTGAAGTCGAAATCTATGGAAAAAAGCACTCAGAAAAATCACCCAAAATTGCTAAACACAATTTTAGTTCTGGAATTATAAGTCCAATTTTGTTTTTGTAGAATTGTGCTGAAATTTTCAGGGATTGTAGTCCTCTACTGAAATAAGAATCGCTAAAAATCAAGTATTACATTTCAAAAGATGAATATTTTGATGAGTTCTACAAGAAAATTCAATAACAACTGATATTTATCAAAATAGAATTAGCAGCAGATTTCCTTGGAAATTTCAATTTTGGGGGCTGATAACGTAAAAACGAGACATGTATCGAAATTATTAATAAAATTGCCTTGCAGACAATTTAATCCTCTATCGAATAAGACCTAATTGGAAAAAATCGGTTCAAAGACAAAAAAGTTATAGCCAACTTAATGAAACGGTGTCGAATCACCACAAAATGGTGAAAATTCATGGGAAATCGGGGGAAAAAAGTTGGATTTGGGAATTTTTGGGATTCCCTCTACAAAATGGCTACCTTGAAATTTCGAAATTTTGACTTTAGGATTTCGCCCCTATACCTTTAACATAGGAAACTCTAAAATTACGAAAATCCAAACTTCATCCGTCCATAATTTCGTAACAGTGAATCGTAGCTTATCAAGTCTTACCTCTATGATTTACCCTTTTCCGGATATTCCACTAAAATCATTGGAGACAATCCACCTTATGCCATACCTTCACCAATGAACAATGTGAATGGAGCCTAAATGACATTGGCGTAGATAATTTTTGTTTTAATTACATCTAGCAGCTTGGGATTTATTTAAAAAAAAAAAAAAACAATAATTTATTCCTTGCATATACATATTTTTATTGATTATTATTTATCTCTTTTTGAAACCCTTACTTTTTATACCAAAAGTAGGCCTCATAAGCTTCTTCCTTTCTTCCCTGTGTCTTTTATTTTTGTCCTCCAACCGATTGTCGCGCCTTTTTCGCGTCGAAAACGTCATTTCCCTATTACCAACCGACAAATATTTAACTGTAACATCTTCAGATTGAACCCTGTCACCTAATGAAGCTTTGTTGGCCCTTTGTCTAACACCTTGCAAACCTTTGAAGTCCTCTCCTTGTTTCAATTCGTACATTGCAGGTTGCTTTTTGGCCTCTTCATATTCTCTTTGCTTATGTTCTCTTTGAATAATTTTGTGTTGTTTTTTGACTTCTTGTGTCCACGTATGTTCATCATCGGAACTTTCTTCTTCTTCTTCTGAACTGTTTTTGCCTTCTAATTCCTCTTCCATTGGTTCAAATTCTTGAGTTAGGAATTTCTGTTTTAATTCTTTTTTTTGAGTTTTATCCAAACGAGACAAAACAGGGTTTAATAGACGATATTCTTCAGCATTTTTGTCTACTTCAAAGTCAGGATTTTCAAATAAGGCACTGAATCTTGTATCTTGTAATAAGTTGGTTTCAGGTTTCTTTTTTTGTTTAAGGTCCATTAGTTTCAAGGCCAAATCCTTATTGACTTTTGGTAATTTGTTGAGTTGCAAACGAGCCTCGCGGTCTTTTTCAATAGTTTCACGAATCTTCTTTTTCTTGTATTCTTCAAATTCAAACGGATTTGCAACAGTTTTGGCTTTTTTGTATAGGCGGACATCCAAAAAGTAACCATGCATGTAAGCTCGTAATAGTTTTGAACCAATTAGATGATCCAAACCCAAATTTTCAAGTTCTTGTTTTGTAACAAACTTGTAATCGTCATAGACTGTTTCAGCATTTGATTCTTCTAATTCTTCGGTTAGGGAGTCTAAAAAGCTGGCCCACTTGGGTGCAGGCCCTAAGCTTGGAATAAAATAGGTTTGGATTTTTGTATTTTCATTGGCCAAGAAAAACAGGCCTGTTTTAGGAACCAAACACAAATTATTAAATTCAGTTGAGGCTTCAATAGACGTACAAAGTTTGCCGTTGTTTTTGTCCCAAATCTTCAACACTGAACTGTCCAAAGAGTAAATTAAGTCTTGTTGGTAATGGAATTCTACGTTTTTAATTGGAAGCCCATACATGTGGTCTTTGACTATAAAAGGCTTATCCGATCTGATGTCATATAGCAAAACTTGGCCTGTAGCTGTCCCGACCCCCAGTTGAATTGCGTCATTGAATTTTAAGGCTGTCACAGATGGAAATCCTTGTAATCTGTGATAATAATAATGATTTTAATATAATATTAGAGTGAAGTTATCCATAAAATTTCAGTAATATGGAACCATGAAATCGTGGTCAAGCCTATTTTTAATCTTCCTGGGTCATCAGTCATAATTTTTCCATTGCCCCTCAAGTCACGAAGGGATTTATGGGAATCTAAGTTACAAGTAGGCCTAACCGCGATTCAATAATTTTATAACTTGAAAAACTTCACTCTTACACAAAATCAACTTACTCTTTATTCTCATTAACGCAAGTAAAGGCACAATCCAAAATTCCAACCCTCTCTTTAACCCTAGGATCCCAAGCCTCAACTCTACCCTCCTGAGTCCCGCAAACGAATAAATTATGCACAGGATTCACTGAGCATTTATTAATTTCTGATGCTGCTGAGCTATAAGGAGTCATAAATTGGCCTCTTTCTAAATTCAGCCTGTAAATATCGGGAGAAGCACCTACTACAAATAAATCACAGCTGGAAGGGTGATATTGCATGTCTCGGCCGAATTTTGGGATTCTGAGTCTGTAGTAGCGGCCGTAGGCCGCGTGAAACTCTACATATCTGTCGCATTGTAAAAAAACCAACTATTTTTTTTATTAGAAACATGTAATTAGACAAAAATTTACTTACTTTGCTATAATCGTCGCTAAGTATTTCAAAAGTGACAGCTTCTGAGTCGAAACATCTTTCGAATTTTAAAGATAAATTGTTGACGTCAAAGCATTTGATTCTAGGTTTGTAAATTCCTGTTGCCAAAACGTAGTTTCCATCTTTTGAGACTTTGATTGTGGTGCTAAGGCCAGGCATGTCAAAGTCTTGGATGAGCTCGATTCGGCGTTTGATGTCGACATTTTTTTTCAGTAGAGCGCGGCGTTTGCGTTCTGAGAGCCACTGAAAAGAAATTTGAGTTTTTTTTTTCAGGAACTATAAGTGCAAATGAGTTGAAATTTTCAGGGATTGTAGTCCCTTGATTGGGATAAAATTCAGTGAAAGTTTCAGCTTTGTAACTATAATAGAAAAAAAGTTATGACTTTTCAAAGTTTTCCAAAATCTAAATCATGAGGTAGGTACCTTCATACTAAAATGATGAAATTTTAATTTTTTTTTTGTTGAGATTTTGTATCCTAATAGTCAATTAACATCCCCCAAACTCCATACACTAAATTATTCTCAGATTTGAAACTGAAATCTATGAAAAAAGGCACTCAGAAAAATTGATAAATCACCCCAAATTGCTTAACACCATTTTATATCAGGAACTATAAGTCCAAATGAGTTGAAATTTTCAGGGATTGTAGTCCCTTTGATTGGGATAAAATTCAGTAAAAGTTTCAGCTTTGTAACTATAATAGAAAAAAAGTTATGACTTTTCAAAGTTTTCCAAAATCTAAATCATGAGGTAGGTACCTTCTTACTAAAACGATGAAATTTCAATTTTTTTTTTTGTTGAGATTTTGTATCCTAATAGTCAATTAACATCCCCCAAACTCCATCCACTTAATTATTCTCAGATTTGAAGCCGAAATCTATGAAAAAAGGCACTCAGAAAAATTGAAAAATTGATAAATCACCCCAAATTGCTCACTCCTTTCGAATTTCAACACAGCGTTGTGAAGGTGTAGTCTGGAACAACTAGGCGGAGTTTAGAACACATTGGCGAAATCAGAAAAACAAATATGATTCAAATAATTGAAGCTTGTAGAGGTGTAATTTGGTAGATACGCTATTTAGAATATTTTTAACCTTTTCTAATACATTTGTCAAGTTGCTTTAGCATTCTGCAAACAAAAGTACTCATCAGTCATCTTTGTCTAACACGTTTAAAAAAAAGTGACGCTGATATCTCGTAAGTTTCCTCTTTCGAATTTTAACACAATCATAAACCTGTAAAGTACCCTGTTTATAGGTGAGAACATGAAACTTCAAAATATTTGAAAAATTATTTTTTTTTGGGTAGAAGGAACCAAAATAAAGCGAAAACACTACTTGGCATTTTTTCGATTAAGACTTCCTAAGCTCGGCAAAAATTCGAGAACGAAATTCGAAAACCGTTTTTGGAATTTACCAACTTGACATGGCCCCATTAAATCAGCTATAACTCTTCAACGCCTGAATTGATTTGAATGAATAAAGTTTCATTCGAAAGAGGATTGAATTACCTACAAAATGACCTGTTTTTTAATATCAATAATTATTACCGTTCTAGAATTATTCAGCCTTAAATTTGAATATTCAACTAAAATTTAAAAAAAAGCTTCAAACTCAAATAACTCAAAATCGGTGAGTCGTAGAGAAAAAAACTAGAAAAAGCAATTTTTTAGTATATATTGAGAGCTACAATTTTCATATGAAAAGTTTTTCTCTACGACTCATAATTTTCAAGTTATGGCTGTTTGAAATTTCAAAATCCAAAAAACATTGACCCAAACCGTAATGAAAAAATTCCGTCAAAAAATTAAAATGGAAATTTGCAAATTTTGCTTTAATAATATTATGAAAGGAACCTCAACGATCCCATAAATAGTTTTTTATTTAAATTTTCTCTAAGAAATATATTTTTTTCATTAAATTTGAAAAATTGATTTTGAAAACTCATAACTTAAAAAAGGAATAAATCTGGAAATTTTGAATTAAGTCATTTTGTAGACAATTTAATTCTCTATCGAATGAAATATAATTCATTGAAATGGGTCCAGACGTTTCAGAGTTATGGCAGATTTAATAGGACCATGTCACGCTGGAAAAGCCTTACCCTCGGCCTTACCAATCTATGGATTTTCTTTTTAATTTTTTTTTAGGCTTAGGAGACGTCGTACGGAAAAATTCCAAATAGCTCTTCTGCTTGTTTCAACCTCTTCTATATGATGGAATTTTATTTGTTTTTTCCAAAATTCGGAAAATTTCGATTTTCCATTTTGTGGGGTATAGACTCGAAAGTCAAGTCAAGTTGTTTTGTTATTTGGCGAACAAAAGTACTTATCAATCATCATTGTCTAACTTACTAAAGGTGGGTATTATAAAACTACTTTGGCAGTTAACTTCTGAAATTACATGAGAAGTAACGTCATTCCAGAAGTTAATTTTTAGTTATTCTGTCAAAATAGTTTTATAATACCCGCCATAAAACAAAAAAAAATCGGGACGCTAATGTTTTGTAAGCTCCACCCCTTTCGAATTTTGACACAGTGTCGTGGAGGCGTAGTCTGAAACAAATAGGCGGAGTTTAAAACACATTGGCGTAATCAGAAAAACAAATTTGTTTCAAATAATTGGAAATTGATTTGAAGCTACAAACTAAAACTGAGTACGTAAAGGTGTCATTTGATAGATACGCTATTTAGAATATTTTTATCCTTTTCTAATAAATTTGTTATTTTGCAAAAGAAAAAGTACTCCATCAGTCATCTTTGTCTAACACGTTAAAAAAAAAACATGACGCTAATGTCTTGTCACTCCTTTTCGAATTTTCACACAGTGTCCTATAGGCGTAGTCTGAAACAAATAGGCAGAGTCTAAAACTCATTGGCGTAGTCAAGTCAGGAAAACAAATTTGATTCAAATAATTAGAAGGGGAGCTTAAGAAACAGTGTCGTGGAAATAAGATTATTCATCCCAAGTGAAAACGTGAATACTATCATGGTCAAAAGCTATTTACTTTATAAGTTAGACAAATAAACTTTTAATTGTTGTAAATTTCAGTGAAATTTGGAGTACCAAGTACGTTTTATAGTCTGGTGCGAACATTACCAGTAGGTACTGACGTTAGGTTTAAAATTGATAAGTACTGTAAATGTATACTTTCCGGACTAAAACTAACCCCGTTACAGTATAAGATGAACTATTTTAAATGAGAATAAACTATTCTATGTAGTAATATCCTTGCACAGAAGAACTAACACCCTAATGTCAATCATCCCTCCTGAATTGGATGCCATTTTGTCTCACAGTTTCTAAAGTTAAAGGTTTTTGATTGGGTATTACTTTATCAATTATATCCTTTGTTTGGTTTTAATCGAATTCTGTCTCCCTACATTTTCTCTGTCTTTGTTTTACTCATTTATAATCGCGTTTGGTGTTTTTTGTAATAGTATAATACTTTATTGTTGTCTTTGTCTTACTCACTATAAACACTGATTTGTATAGTAAAATTCAAAAAGGCCTTGGAATGCAATTTTCATTGCATTTTCTTCGAATTTTCCGATTTTTAAACAAAACAAATTGTTCAAAAATGCAACGTTGTCAAAGGTTTTCCTAGATGCAAAAATTTTCCCGAAGGTCGTTTTAAAGTTTGTTATTTTTCGCTTTTCCAAATTTGTAACGGTTTTTAGAGGTAAATGAACGTTTACTAAGGCCCAGTTGTACAATCTCGGTTCAAAACAAAACTCAACTGAACTGGACTGGTACTTGAGCTTCTCCATTTAAAATACACTGTTGTCAGCTATTAATCAAATTCTATCATTTTTTGACAGCAATGCATTTCAAATGGGAAAGTTCAAGTACCAGTTGGGTTCAGCTGAACTCTGTTTTGAACCAAGCCGTACAACTGGGCCTAAGATTGATATATTGATTTCAACTGACAACTGGCAACACCGCATTATCAATATTGCTTATAGCCAGGTTTCTTCCATTGAGGTTTCTTCAGATTTTAGTGCGCACAGAGTGTATTCATGTCTTTTTCTACTCGCTTGTATAAGAAAGAGATAAAAATACATTTTTTTTTTTGCACTGATTTTACCAATGGATTAATTCAGAATCCATTCTGACCTTTTCTGGAAAATAGATCGAAATTATTGACAATTGAGGCCACAAACGGTTAGAAACAAGTCATTTCGGGGCCAACTGTCAAAAAAAAAAACAAGGCCAACTTTTATTTGAAACATCAGTTTTTTGACATTTGTTGTGTTATAAGCGGTGCTGCCATATTTTTTTTCAAATCAGTCACGAGCCCGTAAAGTAGGCCTCACACGGTCAATAACATTGTCAATATTTTATATTGACAATATATTGTCAATATCATAATAAAGTCCTCATACGATCAATATTTGTATCAATACTTAGTTTGTGAGCCAATTTTCGAAAGAAACATGAAACGTAAAGCGTGTATAGCTGTTATTTTGGCGCACATTGCAAGAAAAATTAATAAGAAAAAAATTAAAAAAAGACGTTGGGTGAAAGATTGGATTTTAGAGAGGCAAAGATTTACTCACGTAAATCTTCTAGATTATATCAAGGAAGCAGAACCTAATGATTTTAAGAACTACCTCAGGATGAACTCCGAAACATACCAAGAACTGCTGGATATGGTTACTCCATATATTGAAAAAAAAATACGAATATGCGACAAGCAATATCAGCTCATGAAAGGCTGTCTGTGTGTCTAAGATTTTTGGCAACAGGAAGATCTTTTGAAGATCTAAAATTTTCAACATTGATTTCTCCAACAACAACCAGCGAAATAATAATGGAAACCTGTGAAGCAATAATTTGTGTTTTAAAGGACTTTATTAAGGTAAGCAAAATATGGATTACAAATAAATCTTATTTCCTACTTATTCAACATATAGTTAACGTAATATAAAAAAGAAATATAGTTATATTATTATAAACCTTAATTCGAAAGGTGTTATAAAAATTTTGTAATGACTGATTCTGTGTGAATTCAGAAGTTTGCTGTGGTTGTGTTCCTGAATCTTCAAGATTTTGATATTGGGGTGATGGTAGAGGTGTCGAAATAGTTGAATAACCTATGCTGTGGCTGGTGGACGGTGTCCAGCTTTGAGCCGATATGGGACGTATTGGAGACATATAATGTGAAGAATTAATTTTTACGGAGTCTCTCTGAAGAGTACCCAATCTTGCTTCGAACAATATATCGTTAATGGCTTTTTCGG